TCATATTCTTCATATTATTGAAGTGGAGCTTTTTACATTTTATTCTTTGACTTCTCGTTGTATCTTCGTAAGAATAATGTGATTTTGAGGGAAGTGTTGAAAGGTTTGAATGTGGTAACTAAACATTTACAAAAGATCTTTAGCCTGAAATATGTAAATATATTTCTGTCAGTGGTTCAGATAGCAGTGTTTAATTTTGCAGAAAAATTGCAAAGGTTTCTTTTTATTTTTTATACTGAATTTATGTTTTGATGAAAAGCACTTCAGGAAGTAGAAGAAATTATTTATTTTTAAAAGTCTCTTAATATGGCATTTTGCAAAGGGTGTGAAAGATAAGGTTACCAGTCAAGAATAATGTTTTACAACATCATTACCCTCATAACACCAAAGCAGCTCTCTTTGAATCATATAATTTGATATATATCTATATTTTGAATCAAATAATATCCTCCTTGGTTTTGCTAATTTTGTTGTGTGATATTTATGTAGGCATCAAGAACTACTTCACTGAAACTCAGCTAAGAAACCCTATTGCTTTCCAAAAGATCAAGATTTGACTGGTTTGGTTTCAAACATACCTTGATATTTCATTTGTTGTAAGACTATACTCAGTTCACAGGTTATTAAAAATTCACTCCTTTATTACTCTATATTATCTACACATTGAGTAGAAAAGAAACCCCAAAATATTTCTTTGCAACTTTTATTGAAATTTCACATTAGTGGAAGTTTTCTTGCAGAACACAAAAACAGAAGAGGGGGAAAATATACCTTATGCCTGTTGTGCAGCCATATGTAAGCACAACAAAAATAGCCAGTGGCTGGTGCATTTATCACCATTTCTAGGCACAGACTTGAGAAACCTTTACTACTGTGTGGAGTTCTGGGCCCCAAGATTTAAGAAGTATGTGAAGGTCCTTGAATGTGTTCAAAGGAGGGCAACAAATCTGGTGTGAGGGCTGGAAGGCATGTGCTGTGTGGAGCAGCTAAGGACTTTGGGCTTGTCTAGTTTGGAGGAAACAAGAAGACTGAGGGGTGACCTCATTACTTTCTCTTCCTGAGAAGGGGAAGTGAAGAGAGGGGTGAGGATCCCTTCTCCCTGTACCCAGTGATAAGATGCATGGCAATGGTTCAAAGCTGCACCAGTAGAGGTTCAGACTGGACACTGCAAGCATTTCTTTGTTGAGAGGGTGGTCAAACACTGGAACACTCTTTCCAGGGACATGGTCAATGCCCCAACCCTATCTTCTTGCCATTACCATTTTCCACTACTTTCTGACTTGTGTGTAGGGTTTTTTTACTTTCCTGTCTCTATTCCCAATTTTTACTAAAGTCTTCTGGTCCTAGTAAATCCCTAGCCCTTCACAGACTAAGTACCTGTCCCTACCACAGATGCCTGTGTAAAATTTTTATAAATAAGTATCAGTAAAACTGAAGCATTTCATGAAGTTGCATTATTTTTACCAAATTTTTCATTTAGGAATATTAAAAGGCTCTAAAGATACACTGGAACAAAATGAATTATTTTTCTTCAGCACTTTTAAACACCAGTTCGAATTTGTGGGTTTGTAATAATTAGTTCTTCTTGGTTTACAATGTTCTTTAACACCAGTGAAAATCATTTTAAAAACAAAGAGTTTATTCCATTTTTTTTTTTAACAGTTCATCATGCTACCAACATTTCAAAAACACTGATTTGGAAATGGCCTGGAACATTTTTCCAACATTTTAAAAGGGTTCTAAAATTTAAAAAAAAAAATCCCTTTTCTCCTTATTTTTACACCCTGTAATCTGGGTACCTTGAACTTCCCACACAGCATCAACCTTTCGTGCTTTCATGTAGGAAAAGTCAATGTTTAATCATAAAAGAGTTTGAGAGTCTATATTAAGAATACAATCTAACTTGGTATCTGCTGTTTGAGATCCTGCACACTATGAATTTCATACAGTAGGAATTAAAATCTGGTATAATTTCATGACCCATATCACCTTCTCCCTCACAGACTCCAACTGTGTGAAGTTATTTCCATAAAAAAATGTGGGGATATTGTAGGAAGCAAACTGGATTTACCAACAGTGCAAAGCTGTGGTGAATATTACATCTAAAGCCAACTCCTCTTATTATAGATATGTTTAACACTTCCTGAAAATTCCCTTCAAAAAAGTAACAGTAATTTTCATCAGCTCTGGGAAAAGAGTCATCAAGTATCTCCAGGTGTAATGTATTTTTAGTAAAACCACCCAAACTGTTAGCCACAGTTGTGAACTCTGCTGAGGAAGTCTCTCGGTGCTGCAGTGGCAAGCTATCTGCCCACAGGCAGTTTGAGTGCCCCAGATAGAGGTGCAAGACCTTAAAAAAAAATCTAAAGCCATGCCATAAACAGTAAGCATTTTTAAAAATTATTTTTCCCCAGTTTGGAAAGGAATGGAATAATAGAAAGAGAAACAAACTGTTCTGAGAAAGGCGCAGCCTGAGGAGATCGGCTTTGCTGCAGGGTCATTGATCCTCCCCTGCTCTACCTCTCATTTTCTCATGTAGGCACTTACCTAATTCTGGACCTGCAGAAGCCCCTTGGCTTTTCTCTGCTCATGCTCATGCTCTGCCTCCCTCACTCCCTTTATGCTTTCCTAGCAATTCCCAGGAAGTTGATTTCCAATAATCACCTAATTTCCTGCATGAAGCAGCACAGGACGCCCCAGGACTCCCATCATCTTGCATGACCACTTTTAGCATGCTCAGACTTGTAAAGTCCTGCTGCTTTCTGCCCTTGTAGACACAAAGGTTAACGGAGATTAAGCAACTTTTCTTAATTGTCAAACTTCAGCCATGAGACTGGGAAAAGAGGATTTGTAAGAAGGACATTTACAGCCCTCTCACGTTTCCCCCCATTAAGGGGCAGATCTGAGATGAGAAGTCCAGATTGGCTCCAAAAGCTGAGGTCTGTCAGAACAGACTCCTTTTAGAGATAGTTTCCTCTCCTAGAAATATAGGAGAACAAACGAGTAAACAAACAAAACTCTAGCCACCTTGGACACATTTCCTGCATGCTCACAGATCATCCTGCCTAAGCACAGTAGTACTGACAGCCCCTGGCCAGGCCACAGCAACACCATCCAGTCCTGCTGGAAATGCAGCAGGTGGTAACCTCTGCAAGGGAGATAAAGACTTGGAAATGGCAGTGATTTGTACCCTACAGAGATAAAGCAGAGTCACTGCTAAAAATGTTTTTTTTTTTTCTATTTGTTCACTCAGCTTGAGTAAAGCCATTTGGGGAACTTTTTGTTTGCTTTTTTCATTTTATTGCTCTTATTCTTCTACATCATACAAGACTAAAACCTTGCTACGAATGAAAATATGGAGCTGAAAGCCTTTTTTTCGTATGCACAGAGTGAGAGTTCCACTGTGCAGACTTGCATCTCTCTTCGCCTATATCAAGATGCAGCAGGGCCAAAGCACAACTGTCACCCCTTGAACTCTCAAGCTGGCAGTACAAAATAGGTTTTCTTCTGCACTCAGTGAATTTGGAGGTTCTATGTATGTATTTCTATCTTTTTATTTCTCAGTGAATATGGATGGTCTCAGACAAATAGAGAAATAAGGTAATAAAATATCTGGTTTGCTGTCCTAAATTTCATCTATGTATAATTTTAAGGCCTTTGCTACATTTCTTATTCCCATTTATTCCCCTCACTCTCATCAGTAGGTGTGGATAGCAGGTTTACCTACTGACTTGCCAGTTGTATTTGTTCAACAGCTCTAACTCAATGACATCATTTATTAGAGAGATAAATGAGAGCAATTAAGCATCATGGCCATAACTGGTGAAACTTTCTGCAATGAGAGCATTATTAAAATGACAGAGTGCTTGTCTGTGCCTGCCCAAGGTGTATGATTCAGCCTTTCTCCTTTGCCTGGTGGAGTGACCCCCAGCAGCACACCTCATGTGCATTGTTTCTATAGGGCTATATATAACCTCTCCTGTAAAATAGCAATATCTATTGATTGATGGTCATTTAATTTTTAAGAGCCATCTTCCGCTATGTTATTTAGAGTTAAACAGGACAGCTATTAGATATTACACTTTAGTTCATGTTTGTTAAACTACTCACTTGAATAACCTCCTCAGATGCTGATAAATGGCACCTTCACAAAGAAGAGCTGTTACTTTTACACATAATATACTGGTGTTTAAGGCTTCTTATAGTATATCACATGCACAGCCTCACTCTGTCATTCAAAATCTGAATGACATTTTATTAAAACTGTGTTTCTTTTTAATCCTATCTGGCTAATGTTTCCAATAATTTTTAATACTGGGTTTGGAGGAAGAAGGAAAATTGCCCTGAGGAGAGGAAACTCCATTCTGCCAAACCAAACAACTAGGTTTCAAAATAGGGCTTGTTTCCCTTAAAAAATTCAGTTCTCTGATTTGGGAAGAAAAGTGGCTGTAAAAGTGTAGAAAGAAACATACAGCTGAAAAAATAAGACCATCAGAGGAAAAAAAGTAGGAGTAATACATGGAAAGAGAGGTAAAGATGGTCAAATACAGTCTGAAGAAAAAAAAAAGGCAAGAGAGAGAGAGGAAGTAGAGAAGGTGCTCCAGACTTCCTCCAGTATCACCAGGTTATAGGACTGAGCTGTAGGACAGCAGCCTTACCAGTTTGAGGCATCCCTGCCTGCTCCTGCCTTCCTGCAGTAGGGATGTGATCTGCAACCCCAGTGTCAGGAAACCCTATCATCTCTCATGGGACATGATCCCAGCATAGGAGCCCTGTAAGGCTTCTTGGGTGTGCTGGTCTGGCTGCAGACATGCTATATATGTATTGAGCACACACAAAATGCATATAGATGAAGCAGCTGTGATGGCAGATCCTTGCCTTTTTTAGATGTCGCAAAGTAAATGTATTGCACAGGCTGTGATGTGGCTGGCAAGAAAATGGAGACAATGTCCCTCTACTCTTGGATCCAAACGCTTCATTTTATAGAGCATATGATTTACCTGTGGTTTGTATCCTTGCAGGCACTGCCCAGAGCACGGTGCCCAGAAGCCTGTGTCCAAAATGGATCCATTGCCAGGAATGTCAGGGAAGTTGAAATGGGAGCCAGGACCAGTGGGGTAGTGCAAGCTGAGGCCAGCTGCACCCTGGCCTCCAAGGGCTGCCTGGGAGAGGAAACCTGAAGCAAAGCATCACTTCTGAGGAATCTCTTCCAGGTGTGTGAGGAGGGAGACAACCCTGGGGTCTCAAAGCCAGAGAAGAAAAAGAGGCAAATTAAGGCTGGATTTGAAAACCAGACAGATACCTACTTTGGAAAGATTTTGCAGATATGTTAAGCAGAATTTAGAGTAACCTTCCTCTGAAATGCTGCTCATTTTTCTAGATGGCAGGATATCCTGAATGCATTTATTGCCGTCCTTTCCATCCCTGCCAAGCCTGCAACAGTGGTGAGCCTGTAGTATGAAGGTGCAGAGAAAGATGGAAATGAATTAGTGCTTTATTCTTTAGGGGTGTTTTTAAAGGTTGAAAGGTGTCAAAGGTTAAGGAGAAAACATACGGAGGGATGCTGGGGAGAGGTGATGTGTTTACAATGCCAAAGAAGGCATGGGATAGGGGCAGCCAAGGTATGTGAAGTAAAGAATATATTTTTATGTGCTCAAAAACATGCCTAAGTGATGAGAAGGATGATGCTAAAACAGACACAAAGTTAAGCATCTTCAGAAGGGATGTAAGAGTAACCATGCCAGGTCAGACCAACAGTCCATCTAATTGGCCTCTGACATGTCGCAGCAAGATTTAAAAACCAATATTGAGTCATCTCCTGCACTGGAAATAATGTCCTAGCCAGGATGAGCAGGCAATCAGGGTGTTTCGTACTGTAGGATAGGAGTACTCATACTGTTAGGAAATAATTTATTCTAATGTAATGTGACTGAATGCTCTCAATATCCTCAGAAAGGCTTTATACATTTCCTGAATCCTGCTGATTTTTGGCTCAGTAATATCTGTGAAAAGAGTTACACTAGTTATTAAGTAGTTACATAAAGACAACATTTAACTTTGATCACTGTTAAACTATCTGCAATTCAGTTTCATGTATTGTTCCCATTTTATGCTGTGTTTGTGGGGAAATTGTTGCTTCTCTAACCTCCACTTTTTGCTTACCCATCCGATAGTCATCTTGCTCTTCAAGGAGCCAGAACTTCTTTGTTGTCTATGATCAACAGTTTTGTTTGCTGTTGACTTAAGCCAAATAAAAAAGCAAACTCAACCCTTGTATTTCATGACAGGAGAAAACCAAGATGGTAGTGGTTGTTACTGTTATCAAGGATACATGTTTACCATGTGATGCTATAAAAATGCACAACCCTATAATATCCATCCTTCCTGTTTCCTAGAGGAGATGATTTGCTGGAAAAAAATGGATTCTACAATGAAAGCCAATATACATGGTCTGTATTTCCCCAAGTGTACCTGCATCTTTTAAATCAGACAGCCTCTGGCATGCAATGAAATCGGTGTCAGAGATGAACAGATTAATAAAGAAAACATCTTCCTTCTAGGGAAAAATATAACATATATATTACTTTTAAGTTTATAAGAAAGTTCTCACCTGGTTACTTCTGTCATACTCTTTAACCTTGGATGGTGCCTGTCACATCTCCTTGACCTGCATTATAGATGAGTTCCTAGTCCTCAAAGACTGGGGAAGTTTCCACTCTCACCTGTGAAAAAGTTGTAGATACATAGATGTTGAAGGATAGGTACTGCACATGGGATAACTGAGTGCCCAGCTCTAAAATGGGATTGTGTATCTTGCTTTTTTCATCTAGACATCCTTCAGCTGAAAGTTTTCTTCTTATTGCTGTGCAAGAAAAAAAAAGGTTGGATTATTCTTTTTTAGAAACATGTTGATAATGCGAGACCAGGATAGGATGATTTGTCAACAAATTATAGCACAGGTTATTTCATAGAGAGTTCATTCAATAACAAAATTTCATATGTTAGTACCAAGCCATCACTTTATCACAATACATTTCTCTTGCAGTTAGAATTTACCCTGTGCAGTTAGAATTTGTCCTGCACAGTGAATAGATTTTCATTAAAAGATTTTAAATAAACCTTATCTTTTCTCATTAACAATGAAGAGAAGTGTGTGTCACATTTTGCCTTTCATCTCCATCCTTGTGCATTTTGATGTAAGGCAGCAGAATGCCTGCTACTATTTAATTAAACAGAAATCTGGATTAACTCCAGCTGTGGGCCATGCAATCAGGGCTTGTGTGTGTTCAAAAAGGGGTGTTTTCCCTGGCTCATATTTCTTTCCAGCATAGAAATCTGCTCTCACTCAAACCTGTCCACATGCTGCAGCAAGTGATCTTCCCTCCCTTCTGAATCATACACTTAGGACCCCCCCCGCTACAATTCTTTGAAAAGAAACAAAAAAGCAAACAGTTTGACTTGTCCACTTACACTAAGTACTATTTAATGATAAGGGGCTTTGCTTGTTCATGTATAAATCTAACATTTATTCAAGTTTATATTGTCATGACTGCAGGATTTTTATATTGTTTTATTCAAATTCTCTCCAGATGACTAAAATTTAATTGTCTGGTGCCAATCTCTCAAGATGAGCTTGATGCTCAGAAGTAATTTTACCTTTCCTTAAACAGACATATCACCATCATGGATGACAGGCACACTTTCAATTCTTACTACTTCTCAAAGTATTTTTGTTACCATTCAAATAGTAAATTACATATAAAATAAACATGATAAATCTGTCTGAAGTTGCAAATCTTTTTCTTTCCTGATAGAGGAAAATTATCACAGACCCAAACATATATTTTGGAGAGAGTCTACTACACCCATAATATCTGTGTGTTCTCAAGTCTGAATATGAGTGTGCAAATGTGTGTATAAATTAATGAACTGACACATCTGATGCCTGCTCTGCTGGTGCTAAGAAAAAAAAATCTAGGAGCTGTTAGCTGGGGTGAGATAAGAAAGGGTTTAATTATGCCAAGGCAAGAGATGTTACATGACGCGCGCACCAGGGTGTGCCCGAGATGTTACATTTATAACAATATCTGGCCAATCCCAAGTGTGTCCATCCTCTGACTTTTGCTCTGGTCCACCCCCTGGCCCACCTCCTGGAATTGGGTCGGGGGGCTTTTTGGGACCCCCTCTTCATCATCCTTCATCATCTTCGGGGTACAGAGAGCAGAGTCACCCAGTTTCTTGACTCTGTCCTGCGGTTTAGGCCAAGATACAAGCGTTCTCCAAACAAGACAGGCTTGCCCTGACTAAGAGACTAAACATCTTCTACTGGATACGGGGGTAGGGTGATATGGGGAGTATGGAATGGGGTAAGAGGGTTAAGGAATGTATAAACTAAGGGGTGCTAGAGGAGGAGGGAGAAAGGGTTTCTAAAATCTACTTCTATTACCTATAAAACTTATAAGGTAGAAAAATAAGAAAACCATTATGGGCTTAAGGCATCACATCCATTAGAATTTGTGATCATATTTGATTTTCAATAGTCTTTCTGAGTATGCACTTTGCCCCTTTAGATGTCATCATCGATCCATGGTGGTGCTTTTGACAGAATATGTCTCAACCAACAGAAAGACAATTGTCAAATGATGTTGCTCATTGTTCATCTCCTTAGACTGGAAATCTTTTTGGAGTAATTTGATATAGCAAGTTTTCTCAGGCTATCAGCAGAGATTCAGACTACAGATGATAATGAAAACTAAATCAGAGTTCACCATGCATAAAAGATTCTGAAACTTTGAATTTTTAAAATTTTGTAGCTTGTGTGGAGGTTACAGATGGGTAAACTCAAAACGTTTGGCCTTACCACAATATTAGATTTTCTGGCCAAATATCACCTGCCAAAACAAACTAGAAATAAATAGCTCTCCATTTTCAGCAGAACAGAGCCATTTCCCTCCCTTTTTTATTTCTCTTTTAGTCTTTCTTCCAATCCATCAGCATGAAAAGACTGTTGAATGAAATTCTATAAATACATCCAATTATTTTAGACTTTCTAATAAATTCCCTCAAGGACATTGTAAATGGCAATTTTGATCACCACAAATTTCCTATGTGTTGTATAGGAATATATAGTTGCATGTGGCAGGATATTTCCTTGTATCCCGTAATGTATCCCGTAGTGTCTCTGGGGGAATTGAAATTTTAGATCTCACTTTTTTTAGTTCTTCATTGTTTTTTTTTTTAAATTAAGAAAAAAATTTTTCTCATTTTCTTTTTTCTCTTCAGGATGTTATCTAATTAATTTCTTGATGTTGTTCTTCACTGATTTTCCACCTACCCTTCATGCCAGTCCTTACAAAGAAACTAGTCATTATGGTACTGTCTCTATAACATTTCTCATCAAGACAGTGGGTGAGAAAGTTTTAATGTCAGTTCTAGAATCTGCTCTGATGAGATTCTAATTAAGTTGCCAGTATAGAGAAAATTAGAAAATCACAGCAGTTTAAAGCTTAACCTTCAAGGAAGCTTGAGCGGATATGAATAACGTTATTTCTGAAAGGCAGTGTGAGTGCATTTGCGCGCGCTAATGTGAAGCAATGCATGTTCAGTACATCATCTTTCCACACTGTTAAGTGGAACAAGTCATAGCACAAGTGTATGTTTAAGTGCTTGAGGATCGAAGATATACTCTTATTCTTGAAGGAAAATGTGGTGACAAAGGCAGTTTAAACGAAATCATATGGTCAAAAGTACCCTTATACCTTTTATTTGTCTCCAATCCAGGTCATGGTTGGGCTGCACCTAGATCATTTCACTGTTACCAGCTCTCACCAGCCATAAACAACCAGACAAGTTTGTATGACATCTGAATATTTGAAGCAAACTCAGATTTATGATTACACTTCTATCCAGTTTCTCATTCTGGATGGAGAGCTGTTTGTCTCAGATTTTACATCATGTTCACCATTCTAATGTTTAGCAGCATATATATAAGTTGTGGCAACTACATATATGCTTACATTCCACTCACTTGGAGATGAGGACATCTAAAGCAAACTTTAAGTGAAAACCTGCCCATCCACATTTTTATATATTATCATTTTATCCTTCTTCTGAGTGAATACACATTGGAACTGCTCTGTACAGATAACTTGCAGCTTTAACAATACTCCAGATTTTTGCCTCCACCTCTGTTTTTAATATTGCTGTGGTTTTCAACCGAAAAACCAGTGGAAGTCAGCCAGGCAATCCCATGACAAACTCCACTAAGGACTTCACAGTTAACAAAACAATGAATGAAACATCATTCTGGCACACAGAGCAGCTTTCTGCTGTCTTCTGCCGCCTTTGCTTTTTTTTTTTCCCCAAGTGGAAAAGCAACTTCAAAAACAAGGTGCTGTCATTTTAGCAAAGGAGAATTAGGACTGTGAAAGGATGAAGTGTCCTTGCACAGAAAGACTGCAGCTAAAATTGTATCAATATTCCTGTTATAAACTGATAAACACAGAGCTCTGTGAGGTCAAGTTGTACATGCTTGAGCTGACATGCCAATCTGCCAGCAGTCATATGGTTCTCATATGGCGACACGCCACAGATGCCAGGAAAATGTGAGAAGTTTCTGGCTCATTTCATTTCACTCTCCTGAATGCCATGTTTGCCTGCACACACACACACACACACACACACAGAGTAGATTTTCTATTTTAAATAGAGCTGTTATAGCCCATGTATTCCCATTTTCTTAAAGGATATGCGATAACTCACCCAAACTGATTCCTGAGACTTCATAGCAAGACTTGTCTAGGAAATGAGAGCAGGTTTTTTTTTCTTACAAGCCTTCAAAACACTCCCCTAGCCATTTTTAAATGACATCAAAAGACGGAATTAGAAAAAGAGACAGACAAGATAACAACACATCATATGTGGATGCATTTTGCACTCTTATAATATACATTTAGGGAAAGGAATCTGAAAAGTTTTAGTTGTCTCAAATAAGACTTCTTCTAATCTCTAACAACATTAAAACAGCTCTTATTAATGCTTGAACAGCAGCAAGTATTTCTTTCTTTGGTTCTGTTTCTTTCTTTTTGTATCAAAAATATAATGCCTCTATCTCATGGACTGACATGATAGTACATTAACAATTGTCTACATTCATATTTGGTAAACAGACCACAATTATTCATTGAGTATATAATGCACAATTTACAAATTGTTGAAATATGTATTTCCGCATCAGACCATCTTTCAAGCTTTTACATTCTTTTGTGTCAGGTTCAATTGTCTTCAAGATGAATTGTTTTCCTTTTCTATCTTATAAACTGTTACGAAAGTTATAAGGCTAAGACAAATATAACTATAGCCATTTTTAATGAAAAGACTTGCTTCTACAACTGAAAGCGTACACTTCACCCTTGCCTCACCAAGTCCAGCTACTGTGATTTTAAATTAACTTACTTCAAACTGTTAATGGAAAAACATAAACTGGTTTTAGGCTTAATACATGAAAAACAAGAAATTCACAATGTGTGTGTGTCTCCACACACATGCAACTATAAAAGGAGTGGTGATTTCTCCATGCAGGACCATGTTTGAAATTAATTCACCTCTGGCACCTCACCTACCTTTGGTCAGAAATCCATCTCTTCAAGAACATTAAAATACCACATTTCTGGCAGCCTCAAACACTTCAGATTAGTCTATAGGGAAATAATTTCTGTTTTTCCAGTGTTAAGTCTTTTCTCCTTAGGATCACACTTTCTAAAAGTTCAAGAACAGTAACTTTCTCGTGCGTAAAAAGGTTAGCATTTGGTAGTAATAGCCTCTAAATTTACAAAACCTGAACTAAAAAATTCAGAGAATTCTCTGTGCTCTGAAGATGTGAACATTTCGATAATAAACATTTAGATTTTTTTTTCATTTCCATTTACATGTCACTTGTAAATCGAGAGAGGAAGATCACCTCAGGCATTAAGACAGTAGCCTACAGTTAAGGAAAAGCAAGTTTGACTCCTTACTTGGCCTAAAGTTTCCTGCACAATCCTGCTCCTTAGCCTCTAATTAACTTCCCCCCCATCCCCTTCCCCAAACCTGTTAAGGTTTGGCACTTGACCTATAAATGTAGGGAACCAGGAATGCTTCTGATATTGTGGATCCAAATTAATGTCCTATCTGCATCCTGGTGCTGGAGAAAAGCCCTTATTGTTCTTTCCAGCACCCTAAGTTTCACGGAAAAACAAGTGCAGATGCCAGTGAGAGCATAGTTGGGCTTTGGTGAGGTCCCACATCTTGTCAACAGGGAGGCCATAACCTCAGGGCAGGGCATGTCAAATACCAGAGGTCAAAGTCTCAGCTCCTGGCATGCCTCACGTGGATGCTCAGACAAAAAAAAATAAAATGTGATATGAGAATTCTGCAAATCCTGACATGACTTCTGTTAAGTATCTGAAAGACAAATACTAGTTGTATTAAAACTAAACCAAATAATTTCCGTACTAAGTAGGGGAGCACTACTGGAATATGCTTCAGTAACAAATCCCTATTTTCCTTCCCTCAAACCACGATTTTAATATTGCTTGCATAGGTCTTTCTATTTTTTTCAGGGTCTTGCCTAGCTTCTCAGGCTTGTGGAGGTAACTGCCCCATAGAGATTGCTTTAAAAAAAAGGCTGTTCTCAATAGAATGATAAAACATTCCTGAAATATTTTTACTTGCAAGTATCATCAAAAAACAGTATTATGTGAAACAGGAGTCCTCAGTACAAGTTTGGAGTTTCCTGTTCATCTTTTTTTAGAGGTGAATATCTGTGAAAAATGTCACAAACACAAACTTGGATCTAGAGTCTTTTTTAAGAAGTCTTTTTTTTTTTTTGCCTGGTATATTTACTCAAGGGACCCTCGTTATTGCAATAAAAATAATAAAGAAGCTGAGGAACAGAACTCCAGTTTGTTTGTTTCTCTCTAAAACACATATATTTGCACAAATGTTTTGGAATAAACATTTGTGTTTGTGCTTGCACAGCAATTAACAGATTGTAAATATCATCCAAAGTACGCCATTCTCTTAGACTTATTGCATACACAACCCCTACTTGGATTTTGGTACGTAAGACTCGGGTCCTGATTAGATTTCACTTTCCTTTTATTGTTAGCCGTCAGTGAGGATAAAGGAGTTCTTAAATGCAGTCAGTCTGATTTAACTCAATGTACTTCCTCTTGAGATTATATTAATGGAATCAAAACAGCAGCAGTTTCAAATATTGATTTCAGCATTGCAGACATTGTATATTGTGTATGTGCTATCAATACTATGACCTCCTTCCAGTGATCAGAACAGTTTCTGTCCCCAAACAAATTAAAATATTAGAACGTAATTCAGATGACAACAAACATTGTACATGTAGCTCTATCTTAATACTCGAATCATAATTTTTTTAACTTAATTTGTCAAGTTCATAACTATCACTTGAAACTTGCTGACAAGGAACCTGATAACACATCATATCAAATTCCATTTTACAACTGTTTCCTTGGAAACACAGGCATAAAAATGGGCCATGCACAATGGAATGAAATCAAAGAAATTAAAATAAACCTTAAAGAATTCCCATTAATAAGAAACTCTTTGCTTTGTTAAAATTCATGAAAAAACAGGGTTAATGAGTCTTACAATAAGAACATCATTGGTCCCACATTGCCATAGGCCCTATTTGTTTTGGCCCTGATCCATCAAATCACTTTAACACATATGCAACTTTAAATGCATGAGATATCCCACTCAACAGAATGAGTCATGTGCTTAAGGTTATTCATGGACTTAAGAACTGCACAAGAGGTGGCTTTGTCTCCAGAGGCTCACTGGTTATTAGAGAGAGCACATATACACAGACAGAGATAGATATATAGATATATATGTGCACATTGCAGGCTATGCATACATCCTTGGAAGCCATGCTCAAGAATAAAAATAACATATAAAATCCTCAAGTCTTCATATACCATAAGTTATGACTTCTGATTATTTAAAACCATGAAAAGATAACTGGATAAAGGTAGGAAGACATTAATTTTAAGCAATCTGTTTATATAGGGGTATAAATTTTATTTAACATAAAAATTGCATGCCAGTTCAAAGAAGAAAAAAGACTTTTTTTGTTGACCTTTGGGATTTTCTTCCTTGGGTTTGAAGTGACTTTGGAGTAAGGTTACAGGTCACCTGATAAGAGAACTGTGCTGAGATTTACAGCTACCTTTCTAAAAATTTCCTGCCCATAAAGTTTGGTTTTGTAAATTATCAAGCAAATCAACGGTTTTCCTCCTTTTTATTGTAATCATTGTGATAAAGATGGGTATGTAGATTTTTGTGCTTGCATTTGAGACCTAGCGCATCAGATTTATATGGCAGGACTATCAAAATGTAGATATTATGCTGGCAAATATATTCTTTCTCCAAGTAAAACAGTTACCATGTACCAGATAACATGTTAATTCTACCACTCCTAGGATTAAAAAAAAAAAGCAATCTGATCAGAGGCTTTTCAGAATACCATTCTTCTTTTTTTCCCGTTTACATTTAGGTAAAAATGTTAAGAATAAAGAGGGAATTTCCCTTGGGGAGTTTATTCCATATTGTACATCAAAAAGTATCTTCTGTCTTTCTCTAATATAAGTGGTACCAACAATTCACTACTAACTGATAACAAAACCTGGTTATTATATAGTATGTTCAAAGATTTCAGATCTCAAGGTATTTTGCAAAGGAGTTATTACAGTATCATTTCTACAGACAGGAACACTCATGCACAAACCAACTTCTCATCAGTATTATTTATTCCCCACAGATCTTAGATTTGCACTGAGTTATTTTAATTTCACAGATTTTTCAAGGATCTCACAGCAATCAGACTGTAATGGATGTCTTACTTGACCTAGGCACAGTAAAGAAGAGATAAAACTTAAGCTTGCAAAGGGAAAGATATCTAATGTAAAGAAGAAAATAGATGTCAAATGCTGTTGAAAATTAAGCCCCTTTAGTGTGAGTGCTTCAATTTCAGAATACAAGTCCTGAGACAAGGAGAGAAAATTCATAAATACTTGAATGTTCACTTCTTCTACCTTTTCTCTTTCCCCATATAGAAAATAAATGTTAAAAGTACTCATCTATCTCTCATGAAACTTTTTTTCCCAGTATTTTTGCCTCATTAGCAGAAAATATGGAATATTTTAGTCACAACTTTGTACTTATGAGAATTTATAACCAGACATCATATAGTTGATATTTCTTTGGTAGTATACATCCAGCTTTCCAGAGTTCACCTCCAGTTTTAGCAGTTTTTTGTTATATCTCTTAATGAAACCAAACCTTCCTTCTCCAAAAATCATGACTATTAATTTTTTCTTGAATCTTATCTATTCTTTGCATAGCAAGTTGACCCTTAAACGTTCGAGACAAAAGCTATCTCTCACTAAATATTTGTAAAATGTCTGCTAGCCCTCACATTTCTTTGACACAAGTTAATGCATAAAAATTTGCATTAATCATTTCAAAACTCCAGAATCTCTGTCTTTTTTTTTTCTTTTTTTTTGCCTATTGTTATATTTACTTTCACTTCAACAGCAGCCAGCTGCAGGAAATCTGATTTCCAGAGCCTTAGGATAAATGACTGAAGGTGTAAAACATCTCAAAGTCTCTTGAAATTGAGCTATTTATTATCTATTCCCTTATTCTTGTGTAGAGTGGCACTCTATTATTAATGTTCTCAAATGTTTTTTTACTGCTGTTTTCCTCCCATGATTTCTGGCAAAATTTGTACATATAAGTGGAATACTGTGATTTTTGTTAAAGTTAAACTTAAATCAGGTATATATAACATGAAGAAAACCATGAAATGCAGTTGCTAGTTGTCACTGTTGGCATAAATTCAAATCGGCCAAGAAGGGACGCATGGGAAAGTGTTCTTAACTGCCCTCACAGTTAAATGTGAATGCAGTTCCAGTGTTTGCTAACTAAAGGTTTAGAACAGGATTTGAAACTGTTTTAATAGAAGTCAATAGGAATTCGTGCCAACTGTAGAGAGAATCCTGAGAGTGCCCAGTTTCTTTATTTCATAGGACCTAACTTTACATAAAGTTTAATGCTCATTCTTGGAGATCTTCTGTGAACCAAAAGAATGTTGTTCCTTGCACAGTAGAGAAATACCTTTGTATTGCTTGGTTACTAATAGGTGGCAACAGCAGGCAAACTGAGGGTTCAACCCATGGATTTAATTTCAGTAGTTGCTAAAATATGGGTACATGCTTCAATGAAAAATGTGTCTTCTCACAACTGCACATGGCTATCACCGTTTATAGCAAAAGTTACTGGTACTCAGAGGTAATTTTGTGTTGAGAGATGTGCCAAAATCAGCATGTATATGCTTGAATATTTCTGGAAAATTGCAAAATTAATCCCAGTTGAATATAGGATTTAATATAGAGCTGCCATCTCCTACTAGGGACTAGAGTGTTTTTTTTCTAGCATAGTGGCTTTTGGTCTCTTTCTAGTTATTTTCAAATTTTATCCTACACATTGTGCCAAATAAGTAAAATGAACAGTTTCAGAAGGCTTTAAATTATGTTAGTAACTAAAAGATGTGTACAGCAGATTTCTGTAAACATCAAAAGGCCTTTTTTACCTGGAAGTCCAACAGAAAAGGTTTTAGGGCTCCTGTTGGACATTTCAGACTTTTTTTGAGACTTAGTTTTACTGAGATTTCTGTTGGCCTTCTTTCCTCACCTTATTTCTTCCTCTTCAGCTGAAACATTTATACCTCTGGAGCATGTAACATTCCCCACCTGTGAGGGAACTGTCAGCAGTGTGGGAGCTGCCTTTCACGTCCTGATCCCAAAGCAAATTGGTTTTCCAAATTCTCTGTGGGGTCTACAGGGTAATGATATGGCTGCCCAAAATCTGTAGAAGGATCTCCAGTGTAGGATAAAATGGTGTAGACCATCAGCAAAGAACTTTCTATGTTTAATCCTACAAGACTCCAAACCTCCTGGTATGACAGGAAAGAGAACTGCAGTCACTGTCCATGTAGCACCATCAGGAATCTCCCCATGCAAAATGTAGTTAGTATCAAATCACCAAAATTACACAGATACACTTTTTTTAAAAAAAAATCCGCTGCCTCTCACGTCTCTTTTGTTACTTAGTTTCTGAACCTTCTTTCCTGTCTCCTGGTCCTTAAGCATTTAGCTTGTCACACCTTAAGGAGAGTGATTCACGATGACTGAGAAAGTCAAAAGTCACTAAATTACCAAAGGAATGAAGTATTAGAATAAAATCTCCCTAAAGGTTGTTGATTTCTAATTTTATGTACAGAGAGGAGGGGCGGTGGGGAAGGTTTTGCTTTTCCCTTAATTCTGCCATATTGTCTGATTCACAGCCGGAGACAAACTGAAATGGCCATCTGGTTGATGTGCATACAAAAGGAGTGGTTTGCCAGACAAAGAAAGTACCTTTTATCATACAAAGCAATGCATCTCCTCTTATCAGGATTCCATTCTTTGGCTCTGGTGGAGCTGCAGGTAGGTAGGAGCAGACCCTACATACCACCCAGATGTAACCCCTGCTGTTAAAATAGTAATGCAAGGACATAACAGTCCAAGGGCTCCGTGGTACATTCATAACATGAAATATACCGCAATCAAACTGAATATTTTCAGCTCCTGGTTTCTGATTTTAGCTAAACCATTCTGAGTTCACTAATTTTCTCCTATCACAGGAGCAATTACAGCATTTTATGTTCAAATAATGATTAGAAATCAGACTGGGACCACTGTGTAAATGGACCTTTCTAAATAGGAACATGTTTTTTGTAGCTATTTAATACTGTCCACAAATGTATCTGTCTACTTTTTGGGATGGTAATTCTGTGTCCACATGCATAAAAGAAAAAATTGCGTAAAAAACATCCTGGTTTTGCCCAGTATCAACGTTTGCATTTTTAATCAACACACCTGAATACTTTCAAGTGGACACTCCATACTGGTTTGATTTAATCTATACTTTAGTTTAAACTGCTAATTGCAGTGTATCCACCACTCAGACATGGCATGTCCCAGAAATTTTAAAAGAAAAATTGACAGTAGAACATTATGATAGCCATTCTGCTTTCATGGTGATATAGCTGAACAGAGGAATGCAAGACATTCATGTTAGTTCACATGCACAAGATATCTGCTGTGTTTACGACTTATTTTTCCCCTCTATGAGGTACATTCATTAGATGAAAGACAGTCATATGTATGAAGCACTGGCATTGTTGGTCAATCCTCTATTTCAATTTTCTCATCCTCTCTTCTCCATTTAAACCTCCTGCTCTTGATACTGGACTCTGTTGACCTCCTCTTAAGGGGTTTTTCATTGCCTTTGCTGAGATGATAACTAGGGAAGTAGAACATCCCATTTCCCCATAAAGCTGTCCAGGGAACTGGAATGGAAATTGCCCTGAACTGCCAACGGAAGAGACTCCACTCCTGAGAGTGGGTTGTTTGATGCTGATATTCCCCTTCTCCCGATTTCCTTTCATTTTAAATGATTTGTAAAAAAGATTGAAGCAATATGCTTTTCTAACTAGAATGAGGGTCAAAGAGATAAAGCCAGCAAACAAACAAAAGGAGGGTAGGGAGTGATCCCGCATTTCTAGGCATTGTTGGGAAGTTCATTTCCCTGGTATGTGGCAGAGATGGCAATATTATTAAATGTTCCCCAGGCAACAATTGCTAGGCTCCAAATTCTGTGTTTTTATTCCAGAAAACAAAACATTTTCCTTTTACAATCAACTGTCCCTTCCATCAATACATAACAAAATAAAAGCTGTTTCATTTCAGACAGTGACTTTCACTGTAATTATGCTGTTGTGATATAAGGTCATATTAAAACAAGGAACAATCAACTTAAAGGTTGATCACAGAATATGGGAGTGTAATTGCGGAAAATATTCCAGTAAGATTTTACAGGTCCAATGCATTATTTTGAAATAAATGTGCACAAAGGATGTCTTGAAAG